CTTAACTGAGAAGTTAAAGCACTGAAACAGATTTAGTTCTGGTTTAGCCAAACCAGGACATCTTGCAAGTGTCTAAAAGCAATTCATGCTTGCATATTACCAGTGTGAAGAGTCTAAAATAGAATAGAAAGGCAACAGAAACTTGGGAGTTCTGAAGGAGGTTTGTTTTGCAGTTTAATAATAATTAATGCTGGGATGGTCACTAATAAGCAGAAATTTATTCCAGGCGGTTGTGTTTTCCAGCTAATGGTAGGCGTCCCCTGTGCTCTGTGATCGTTTGCTTTTTAAAAGCATGGATCGTATCAGGATGTGAAATAACTTTGTTTACCATTTGCACTGATGATCACCTGTTCTCCAAAAATCTTCCAAGAAGTTTTTCTTGGGTGCATGAAACAAACTAATTTCTCTGTATGAGCAGTCTTGTTTCAGACCAGATGACTAATCAGTGTTGCTGATATTTTCTATATTTCATGTTGTATGAGTGTCTTGATTACTGGCTGTCAGACTTTTGTTTGCTTGTGTTTGTGGGTTTTTTCCTTAAGCTATGCTATTGATCAATAGGTTTCATTGTCTAGAACTAAGATTCCCCTGTCATAAAGACACTTACTTTTGTTTCTAGATAATTCAGTTTTTCAATTCCATCTCTTGCCTTTCCTTGTTTTGTTATTTTTTGCATATACGTTATCATTTTTACACCTGTTGCATTACTGCTTCAATATCTTTTGTTAAAATTTTTCTTTCTCTGTAAGTGTGTCTGTAGGATGATGAAATTCTGGTTGAACATTTATTGGATTTGTTGTTTAGAAATTGCAAAATACCAATAAACAAAGAATACACGTGCCTGAGTGTTACGTGATGGGGAGAGATCTTTTTCTTTGTAGGTACCCTCCATCATTTAGAATTTTACCTTATACCTCTCCTCTAGAAACTCCTATCAATTTTAGAAATTTTGGTAGAGATCTGGTTGAAAGATTGTCAGAAGATAGAGCTTCAACCATAAGCAGACTTGTTTTGTCGTGCCTTGGTTAAGGAATGTTGAAGCCAAGAATGTCTAGCATATACTCAGTCTTTGAAAATGTTGGAGCTTCACCTTGTCTCATAAAGCATTACTGAAAGGCCAACCGGGAGGTATTGACAAGAAGCATCTGAACAGTCAGTTGCCCCCTTTTATGCTTTAGCAGATTGTATATGCACGTTTGTAATTCCTTGCAATACTCTGTTGGTGAAAATGAATTCTCAAAGTGGAGCATGTTTTGAATAAACCTGAAACAATCCAAAAAAAGAATCTTCTATGCATTCATCCTGAACTTGAGCAGCATTCTTTGATCTGGCTCAGTGATCACTCTTGCTTGTAGATGGATAAAGCTTCATTGGCATAAAATACTTGAGCAAATACCCTGTGTGATCCTCCAGACTACCTATTAGGAAATTCACACTTTGCATGCAAACATCTACCCAATCCAGTCCTTTCAGTTTCTCCCCTTCCATGAAAACAAAACTCAATTTTTTGTCTGTCCTGCCTGTTTCAGACTAACTTAAGTATTACAGTAACTGCCACCATGTCCATTGCCTTCTTTCAGGCAATTAAGGCTGACCTAAAAGCTAATTCTTCCGTATCACACTCACACTTACTTTAAATCTTTAAATTCCTGTCCCTTCTTGATAAAATCTGCTTCAGTCATTACCTGTGAATTCAAGGATGGGCAGGGGTGAAAATATTGAAAAGGATATTTTTGTTTTGTGTGTCTAGAGTTGAAGAAGAGAAGGAAGAGTGGGACAGTGAAATGAGTACTACTACTACCCCTTTAAGGAAGAACATAGATCGCTGAGTATAGGCAATTGTGCTTGCTTGTGAAATGAAGTATTGCAGTCATCAATGCAGTATTTCATTGATGAGTAGCACAGCTTACTTTGAGTTTAATTACATTATTGTTTATGCTAAGTTACATATCTTGATTTTGTTGATCTTTTTGTTGATCTACTATATATTAGGATTCTTTTTCAGTGACTCACAAACACAGTTTCAGCTATGCTTGTTAATAAGAGTTTTAACTTATTTCTAGCTGACAGATGACATTAAAAAAGTCATAGGTATCTCATGTTTGATCCTTTTATTATTTCTGTGTGTTTAAAATGAAACACTTCTTTCCACAGGACTCTTACATGCACAAACAAAAAATAGGGTAAATACAGTTTAGAATAGGAAATAAAGCATTTCTCCCAAATGTTTTCATTGGTAGCACTTTGGAAATATCTTGAAAATCCTGTAAGATTTTACAATAAAAATTTACGACTTTATTATAAAATCCAATTGCTTGTATTACTACAATTTGTGTGGGACATTTCAAGTAGCATCATATCAGTTTTGACATTGTGATCCCGAATCTACAATGGGGATTATAATCTAATATGTGACACAAAGTTTTTCTCTCTTTTTTTTTTTAAGATCAGCTTCTCAAAACTCCTAACTGTTCTGTTATAAAAAGGATTAATTTACATAGCTGCACTTAAAATGAATTACTTTAGTTATAGTTGTTCTTTGAAAATAACTTCTTTATATATTAATTCCTAGCTTTATTTAACTGTCACTGGTTTGATTCAAAACTCTTTTGTTTTCAAAACCAAAAATGAACAGTCTGCAAATGAAAATTCAACTTATTTATCAAGAATAAATACAGATTCTGACTCCTATACTTGCATTATTTATCTACCCATACAGTTTTACTTGCATGCTATGACAGTGGAACAAGGTAAAAATTGCTGATGTGTGCTAAACATGTTTTTCCAAGTAACCTCCAGTTAGGAATGGTCATAAGAAAAACTTACTAGACATCTGAATTAGTGTGTTCGTTACACGTCTGCTTGTTACACACATTTATTGTGCTTATAGGAAGTATTTATTTAAAGTAATTAAGTTTGGTTTTTAATACATCTGTTGCCCGTGTTTGTTTGTTGTTTTTTTTATTCCTAGATCTTCCTCAGAACTGTGATCCTAACATTCCCCTAGTTGCTCAGGAATTAATGAAAAAAATGATCCGTCAGTTTGCAATTGAGTACATTTCAAAAAGTAGCAAAATTCAAGAGAACAGAAATGGTTCATCGTTTGAACCAAGTCTGATATGTAAAAGTATCCAAATGAACCAAACGGAAAACTCCCTTCAGGAAGAACAGGATAGCCCTCTAGACCTCACTGTGAATCGAACTCAAGAACAGAATACTCAGCAAGGTAAACTTCTATATCTGCTTATTTGTGTTTTGCTGTTATTTATTACCTTATTATGTCTTACTCCCTTAAAAAAATGTGACTGTGTCAAATACTTGTTTTGTCTTTCAAGAGTAGTAATCGGTACATAGAATAAAAAATTATTCTATGTGATTAAAATAAAGTTGAAGGAAAATTAGCATTGTATCAACTTAACATTTAAAGATAACATTTTTTCTGGTGTTTGAAGGAAAGTGTATATAGGAGAACTGAAAAAAAAAAAAAAACCAAAACAAAACCAAACCCAAACAAACAGGAACAAAAAAACCCAGAAATCCAAACACATTATTTCTAGAAATATTTTTCATATTGTGTGTTAGCAGGTAAATATGCCTGTGTGCCTGTGTTAAGTGGCATTGGAATTTCTCAGCTTTAGAATAATGAATCTAAACCAGCTTGGCTGTGGCTGTCACAGGTAACAGTGATTCAAAGTTTTGTTGAAGAAATGGCTGTTAAGGAAAGAAGCCTCCTGAGCAAAGAGAATGATACTGGAATTTCAGAGGGCAAAGGTCATTCAGTCTGTCGGTCCTTGGACACTTTGATTCTTTACATGCAGACTGGTTAGAATGACAGAAAGAGAAGATTAATTTGGGAGGAAATTTCCATACTTCATTTTAATCACTATAGATCAGTGCAACTTTCTTAATTGAGAGTAAAGCTAGAAAAAGAAAAAGTCTGTCTCACTATTATTTTCTAAAAGGAAATAATTTCTTTGCCTCAAGGAATATTGCTATCCAAAACTGATAACAATGTAATCACAAGAGTGTTTTGGACTTTGAACTTCATTTGTGTTGCCATCAGTTTTCAGGAAGGGTTGTGACTATAATGTGCAACTGAAAGCAGTGGCCAAAGCAGCTTTTGTCTTTTACAGATACAAGGATCCATCTTAATCCTGCATTAATACTGCAGACCAAAGGGGAAAATTTACCTGTATGTCACGTACCATACTAAAGTTAAAAGAAAGATACAACTGCAGAATTAGGTTTTGGAAAAAAAAAAAAAAACAACATACATTGGTCAGAATGAAAGCACATCCTTTTTCCTGGTGGGGGGAACTCTGACATGGGTTTACCTTGCTAACCATTCCTATTCTGGATTAAATTTTAAGTATCCTTTCTCTTTGACAGCAGAAGCATTAAGAAATTGTGGAATTCCTGCCTTTATTCTGGTTCATGCCTGGGTTTAGTGAATACCTTGTGCAGATTAAATCTTGAGAAGATATCAGTTGTGCTTTGACATACCTCTGCTATGGATGAATTACAGATTTTAGAGACTTATAATTGGCCAAGTTGAAGCACTTGCACTGATACCACTTTCCTGATACCAGCATTACAGCCTGTTGCTTACTTCAACAGCTGGTTATAAAAAAATAGCTAGTTTAGAATGTCCATAAGGGAGTCAAGTCCCCAAAGACAGGTTCTGGTCCTCACTAAGCCCAAATAAATCTTTGAGGAATGAAAGGGAAGGCAGAGGGTGAACAGGGCAGGGACAGGAAGAAAGTTCTGCTGCCACCCTCATCTATTTGAAAATCCATTTTTTGTCCAAGAAAAGCTTGAAAGTAGATAGAGATGGAGGTATTTAAATCTCTTTTTTTAATATCGTTTGGATTTTTCTTATAATGAGGCTAAACAGCAAGTTTAGAGTTGTGCATCTTCAGCAAAACATCTGAGTCTAAAACAGTTGCTCAGCATACACAGTTTACTATAAAACTTGTATACTGTGTAAGATACTGTAGATTCTCAGAACTTGTGCTGCCACATTTGCTGTAGTGCTTAGCAGATGTTAAACATACTAGTCTTGCTGCGAAGTTTAGAGCTACTGAAATGAGAGTAAGTACTGAAACAAGACTGTAGCTGGGAAAAGGTTTCAAGCCATCTTATCTTATCTACCAGGGAAGTTGTATTGCGCTTCCTGTTTCCCACGAACATATCAATTTTGAGCGATCTTAGCTTTCCACTGTAGTGGTAGCAACATGAGCAAATAAGATCAAGGTGGAAAAAGTCAGCCTGCTGGTTTTTATTTGCATTGTGTTCTGGATGCAAGGACTCATGAAAAGTTCTTTCAATTAGCTGTTATCAGGGACTACGTATTATTATTCTGCCTACCCCTCGCTTCTGTCCTTTTCCTGAAGAAAGCTTGGATATATTGAATGCTTACAATAGGGAATTGTGATTTTTTTTTTTATTGGATTATTTTAGAAAATACATTATTCTGTGTCTAACATAGTATACTTTTTCAGTCTGGAGACTTGTTAAAGCTGTACCATGATTCTTTTCTTAGTAGTAGTGTCTTTTTAATTTTCATGCAACTCTTCTTATTTTTTGCTATTTGTAATTCCTGTTACAATTGCCAAATGAAGTGGCAGTAGCAGAGTAGGAAGCTCAAATTTGTACATTGCTTTGATGGATCCTCAAAGTGGAAATCTTTTTGATTCAAATCACGTGAAGCAGATAATGACCGAAATACAAATACTTTAGGTTCATTTTCTATTTAGGCAGGTGCTTTGTATTTACAGTAGTTGTCTTCAAAATGAATGATCTAAATAATAAAACACAGTCTTGTTCCTTTACTATGGCAATGATTCTTCGACTTAAGTTGAGAGGAGGGAGTGAGCTTTATTTTCCAGATCACTAGAAGCATTTTTTTGCACTGAGCATATCCAAACTAAGTGCTAATTCATACTGGAAAAAAGATCCTGCCACTGAAGATGTTTGGGTGATCTTATCTTCAGTTAAGAAAGCTTCTTACTTTTCTTCCAGTATCTGCAGGCCATCTCTGAAGTACTCCCAAAATATCCAGGTCTGACGCTTCCAGACCTGATACCCCTGTGTATTGGGTTTACATGGCAAGGTTTTAACAGCTGGGGAAGGCTGCAGGGCTGGCATCTATGAGAAGAGGTCAGGGGTGGCCCTGTGCCAGGCACAGCCAGCTCTGCAACAGACCCACAGCAGGCCAAAGTGGAACACGTTGGTAAGGTTTGTGGTGCCTCTGAGAAAGCATATTTAAGAAAGTGTAAAAATACTGGGCAGGCAGGGAAGTGAGAAACAGCAGGGTGGACAACAAGGTCAGAGAAGGAAGAGGAGGAGGCAGTGCTCCAGGTATCAGAGCAGGTATTTCCCTGCGGTACATGGAGAGGACCACAGTGGAGCAGGTATTCCCCTACAGCTCATGGAAGAGACCACTCTGGAGCAGATATTCACACTGCAGCCTGTGGAAGACCCCACACCGCCGCCCCATTGGAGCAGCTGGATATTTCCTGAAGGAATTGTGTATGGAGAACATGCAATGGAGCGGGGGAAAAGTGTGAGGAGGAAGGAGCTGTAGGGAGAAATTGTACTGACTGTAACACCCATTCCCCATCCAGCTTGTGCCACCTAGGGATGGGGGAGAGAAGTAGAGGAATTGAGAGGGAAGTTGAGCCTGGGAAAAGGTGGGGTGGGGAGGGGAGGTGCTTTAATTTTTCTTTCTCATTCAAATTCTTTTAATTTCCAATAAATAAATTTTCCCCAAGTCTGTTTTGCCTGTGATGGTAATTACTAAGTGATGTCCCTATACTTGTCTTGATGACCTTTCTCATTTTATTTCTTCCCACCCCCCTGTTGAGAAGGGGGGATGAGAGAGGGACTGGGTGGGGTTCTAGCTACTGGTCAAGGTCAACCTGCTGCAGCTGTGGTACTGAATCATTCAGTACTGAGTATTTAAGCACTGGCATCCACGTATGCCTAGCTGGCACCTGACTGATAGCAGAGTCCCAAATTATGCGCTGCTGCTTCTACATGTGGAAGTGTGGTAACTTAGCAGAGTGCTTGAATTGCTGTGCACCTTGCCAGTAACTAATTAGGCAGTTACTTCACTGTCAGTCAATTAGAAGCAACTGTCTCCAGAAATACCTATATCTTGCTTTTTTTTTTCCTAACCTATGTAACTCTTAAGACTATTCAGACCTTGAAAAGAATACTCTGTAAAGCAAAAGAAAATTTGTTTTGTGTGCAATGTATCTAACAAAAATAGGGTGGTATTGCGTATTTTTGTAATATTACTTACCCTCCGAGCCAATAAAAAAGCAGCATCTACGCAGGATAAAATGTTGGAATATCCTGCAGCAACTTATTATTTTTTTTCATGCAGTCATGATGCTGAGCTCTTTGGGGAGTATTTCCAGCAGCAGCTATCTTTCCCTTGATATAGAAATGGGAGAGTTGATCACTCAGGCTGCTAAGCACAGTGACTCACAAGAGGCAGAAGTATAAGCTATACAAATAAATAATCTGTTAGTTTAGCTACACAAGCTTATTCTTGTTGCTGTATCTTCTAGGAACAATGATAATGTGTAAACATAGCAGAAAAATGTGAGGGAATTTGGATAGATTTCATTGTTTCGTTAATCCATCATAGACTGGAGGACATCAGAAGGTAGCTGGCAACGTGTGACATTTTGCTACATGAATGTTTTACAGCTGTCCTGTAGCTTTGTCATTGTTGGCTGTTATTGAAGAAGTAGAAAAAATCCAAGTAAATTCTGTTTAAATTATTTTAAATATCATTTTATTATCCAGTTTAACAATGTGCATGTGATTTCAACAAAATTTGTGACAAAATAAAGATTTCTGAATAATGGACCAGAATTTGGAAACAATCTGGAACACAGGAAGTTAAACATGAGGAGGAACTTCTTTACTTTGAGGGTGGCAGAGCACTGGAACAGGCTCACCAGGGAGCTTGTGGAGTCTCCTTCTCTGGAGGTATTCAAAACCCGTCTGGACATGTTCCTGTATGACCTGCTGTAGGCAAACTTGCTTTGGCAGGGGAATTGGACTAGATGATCTCCAGAGGTCCCTTCCAACTCCTACCATTCTGTGTTTCTGTAATTCTTAGTTTCCTATCTCTTGAAAATTGACACTGAAGTTAAGTATGGCAACTGGGATCACAGCATGTGTGGCCTCTTGATTGCTATGTTCAGGGCT